GAAGGCCCCGGGCGGGCCGGTGACGCTGCCCTCCTTGCAGTATTCTCAGGAACCCCGTGACCAACAAGAAGCACTACCGCCTCTACGTCATCTACAAGGTCCCCCAGGTCCGCGTGCTGGACTTCCAGAAGGTGAAGCTCAAAGTAAGTGCCTCTCCGGCCTCAGTCCCTGTCCACCTGTGGCTTGGATGTGTGATTTTGTGATTTTGTGATTGTTTTTTTAAATTGCCTGATGGGTTTTGCTGCTGGCTGGTAATGATAACGTGGGAAAGAAAACATTAGATCAGATTTTGGGCGAAGCTCTCACGTCAGTCATCCCAGCGGGTCGCACGGTCCACAGGAGACTGCCCGTGGGAGCTGGCCGTGCCCAGTCCAGCAGCCTCGTCACGGGAGTGGTTTCCCGTTACCTTCGGGGGGGCGTGGGGGGTGGGGTTATCCCTGCTTTAAACACCAGGGGTGGGAACCTTTCCTCTGCCAGGCGCCATCTCTATTTTACAGCGTCATTCACGGGCCATGCAGAGTGATCACCTTAGACATGAGCCTGCTCTGTGTGGTCCAACATTTAATAACCCCCCTTCCCCCCACAATGCCTTGGCAGGGCCAGGCCAAATGATTTCTTGGGCCAGATGTTCCCCACCCCTGTTTTAAACCTTAATTGTTTTTGTGTGTGTGTGTGTGTGTTTTTAAAAATTGATTGCAGGGTGGAAGGGGGAGAGAGAGAAGCATCCATGATGAGAGAGTTTTAATTGATTGCAGGGTGGAAGGGAGAGAGAGAGAAGCATCCACGATGAGGGAAAACCATCAATCGGCCGCCTCCTGCACGCCCCCTACTGGGGACCTTAACACCCTGAGGACAAAGGAATGCTGCATGGGAACTGGGAAAAGTTTGAAATTTTAAAGAAAACATATATATATTACTTTTAAAACTCATAAATCGAATTTGGTTTTAACTACCATAAAAAAAAAAAAGGAAAAGAGCACCCTTTAGAAACAATATTACAGCCTTGGCCGGTGTGGGTCAGTGGTTGGCACCGAAAGGTCACAGTTCGATTCCCAGTCAGGGGCCAGGCCCGAGCTGCAGGCTCAATCCCAGTGTGGGGCTTTGCAGGAGGCAGCCGATGGATGTTTCTCTCACAGATCAATAAAAACCCCACAAAGAAAATATTGCAAATATTCCCATCGGGCCCAGTGCCCTGTCACACTTTCCCTGATGCTCCCTGAGCTGTTGTGACGTTGAGTTGCGTGTGAAGAGCAGCGGCCATGCCCTGATCTGTGGGTTGGGTGGGGGGGGGGGGGACTCTGGGGCTGGGCCTTAGTTGTCTGGGAGCCCCGCCTTGAGGCGAGGAGGGGCCTCTTCCTTCAGTAGCTTCAGCAGAGAAGGCAGGAGCCCAGTGTCGCCTTTGACCTTGACCTTGGCTCTGCTTTGGTGCGCAGCCCAGTCTGTCTCAGAAGAGTGCATTACACGCGTGTGCTTTCCTGTTTCCATTAACTCTGTGTGTGGTGTCGCTGTAGGAGCGTCAGGAAGCAGAGAAAATGTTCAAGGGCAAGCGGGGTGCACAGCTTGCAAAGGATATTGCCAGGAGAAGCAAAACGTAAGCTGCGGACGTCCGCCTTCTCTCCACTTCCCCTTCAGAAACACTCCGGCCGCCACGGGCCTCCTGCCAACGCCACCCCAACGCCTGGGCCTGACCCGGTCCTGAATTGGCGCCACGCGAGCCCGGGGCCATCAGCGGTCCGGGCGTCACGTGACACTCCTGCCCCGTCGGCGGGCAGAGCCAACATTTCCAATCCGGCCTCGCTGTCCCATGTCCCGTGTCCCGCTCTGTGATGACCCGAGTGGTGTTTCTGAAGGAGAGGTTCTCGTATCAGTGTGTTAACAAAGATAAGATACTACACTGGTTGGGTTACTTTCAAAAGCTTTGAAAGTACGAGAAGCAGTTCCTGCCGGGCTGGTCTTAACCGTCGTGTCCTCCCTCCCAAGGTTCAACCCAGGTGCTGGCCTGCCCGCTGAGAAGAAGAAGGGCGGCCCGTCGCCCGGGGACGTGGAGGCCATCAAGGTGAGGCTGCCGGCGGAAGGGAGGGGAAGGGAAACAGCCACGATGAGAAAAGATCATGGATCGGCTGCCTCCTGCATGCCCCACACTGGGGATCGAGCCCGCAACCCGGGCCTGTGCCCTGACCGGGGATCAAACCATGACCTCCTGGTTCCTAGGTCGGTGCTCAACCACTGAGCCACACCGGCCGGGCACAGCGATATTTTTGTTAACGGAAAAAGTAGCGTGGAGAGATTACTTGACCAGACTCGGGCTGGAATTAAGTACAGGAGCCGGTGGGAGTGGGGGCAGCTCTGGCCTGTTACAGTTTCCCAGGACGAGTGTATTTCAGCAGCGGGGACCTTTGTGCACCGTGTCAGTGTCTGCCTGGGTTTTTGTTTTTTCTCTCGGTTTTTACTGTCATATTTACGCTGAAAGATCCTCTTGGAGCGCAGTGAGAAATGCTGATGTTATAACATTGCCTCTTACGCTGCCCAGTGCCATGATCCCTATCGGAATTCCGTTGTCACGTGTTAGGACACGCAATGATGACTTCCTCTCCTCTGGGGGGGTCTGCGTGTCTTTGCCAAGTTCGGAAATTCCTGGTTTGGTTTTTGGGTCGATTTCAGTGCCAATAAGATCCTTCCCCCAGTGCGGTTTGAATTGGAACTGCTTACTGAAGGTGTGGTCTGGGAGATGGGTCGGCCGCGGTGAAACTGACTGTCCGTCTCCGTGTCCCCAGAACGCCATAGCGAACGCGTCGACGCTGGCGGAGGTGGAGCGCCTGAAGGGCCTGCTGCAGTCCGGCCAGATCCCCGGCAGGGAGCGCCGAGCAGGTCAGAACGCACGTCTGTCTGTCCACATCCCCCACAGTGACCCCCGCAGCTCAGTGCCAAGGCCCCAGAGCAGTGCCTCTGGCCACCGAACCTGAACTTCACGGGTCCCTTTAGATCAGCGGTTCTCAACCTGTGGGTCGCGACCCCTTTGTGGGTCGAACGCCCCTTTCACAGGGGCCGCCTAAGGCCATTGGAGAAGACATCTATAATTACATATTGTTTTTGTGATTAATCACTATGCATTAATTATGTTCAATTTGTAACAATGAAATTGGGGGTCACCACACCATGAGGAATTAACGGGTCGCGGCATTAGGAAGGTTGAGAACCACTGGTTTAGATGCTCTTAGAGGGGAAGTGATCTGATGTAGAATATTGTGTCAGAGGGCCCTGGGGTTTTTCTCTCTTTCTTTTTGTAACATATACTTCTGTTGATTTCAGAGAGAGAGAGAGAGAGAAACATCCATGATGAGAGAGAATCATGGATCGGCTGCCTCCTGCACACCCCACACACGGGATGGAGCCCACAACCCGGGCATGTGTCCTGACCGGGAATCGAATTGTGACCTCCTGGTTCATAGGCTGATGCTCAACTGAGCCACACCGGCCAGGCCCTGGGGTTTTTCTATGGAAACAGTGATGCAAACAGTATTTCATAGCCGTGGAGTGGCATGAACATGAGAGGACAGTGTGGACTTGACCGCTGTGCGTACAGGATGGCTTAGTAGTTGGAACACGGGTGCCAGGCCCAGGTCTTAGCCTCCCAGCTCTGTCCTCAGTGAATTTCTGAGTCCCCACTGAACCTTGACTCCTTCTCATCTTTAAACCTGAGGTGGTAACGGTGCCAACCTCAGAGGGTGTTGGTGTGGGGTTTGTTTGTTTGTTGGTTGGTTTTTTTGTTTGTTAATCCTCAGCCAAGGATATTTTTCCATTGATTTTTAGAGAGAGTGGGAGGGAGGGAGAGACAGAGAGAGAAACATTGATGTGAGGGAGACATGTCAGTTGGTTGCCTTCCACAGGAGCCCTGACCAGGGCCCGGGCTGGGCATGGAGCCTGCAACTAAGGTCACGCCCTTGACCGGAATTGAACCCAGGACCCTCCAGCCAATGCTCTATCCGCTGAACCAACTCTGATACACATTCTGAGATCTCAACGCCTGATTCTCACCATAAAAATAGAGACTGCTGCTGCCTGGGCTGTGCGCGCAGTGTGGTGTGTGTGTGTGTGTGTGTGTGTGTACGCCTTTAAGCTGGAAACGCAGGCGGCCTCGTTTCTGAGTAGGCCTCCGTTCAAGTGGAGTCAAGTGGTGGGTGCTGCCAGGTTGGCTACACTGTGACGGGCCCCTAGCTGGGCGGGCGGCTGGAAGGGCTGTTGGAGCTGAAGCTAAAGGCGAGTAGCCTTTCAGGAGACGCTGGTTCTCTCGGGGTGTCCTGGGGCCCCTGGGGGTTG